TCATTCTGGTGATATGTTGACGTAAGGCTGTCCTACATGCTCGTCCCGTTAGCTATTTTTTTTTCTGTGAATGCGCACTTTCAGGTGTATATCTGTGGTGAACTACAGTTTAAGACCAGAGGGTTTTTGGGATATTTTTTCACGCGATGGCGTACACGAAAGCACAGGTCGGGCTTCCCACTGATGCCTTGGTTGCAAAGTTTCTACTCGACAGGTAAAGTTTGGCATTCTATTTAGAGAAATCAATTTCACATCACTGCTAGTAAAAGTTATCTTCCTCTATATTGAAACTATATACCGTTTATTAGGCGTTCCCTCTCGGGAGCGGGTACAGGGTTGTGCATGGGCATTTTCTTTGTGGAGAGGGCCGGTCTTTTAAAAAAATTCATGAAAATCCTCAACTATAGCTTTAGAAGAAAAAAAATCCGAGCAAAGCTTAATGTTACAATGGCAACTTTTAAAACTATCAAATAGCAAATTAATAAAAAAAAAGTTCCTAAGGAGAAGTTGAAAAAGACAATGTAGTGAAGTCAGAAATCCTTTACCTGTATGTTGATGAATGTAGGAGGTATGTATGTCTGTATAAAGCAGTAAAATTAAACATTAATAACACAACTATTTTACTAAAGCAAATGTTAGAGGTTAATGATGATCATTTGATAGTTTAGTGTAAATGTAACAGCAGTAAGTAGCTGAAAGTTGAGGTGACTTGTAAAAAAAACAAAACAAAGAATGACAGGAAGCAGTGTAGCCATTCTTTAAAACCAGCAGAGTTCCACATGTTAAAAGGAAAGAAAAAAAAACTACAGAGGAGCCCAGAGAATGATCTGAACAAGCTCATATGCTGGGTTATTGTTAACATAATTGAAAAATAGAAAGTTAATACAAAAGCTTCTGTTAGTCAAAGAGCTTTAAGTTAAAATATACATTTCCAAACAATAAATAGATCCAATCAGTTTTTGCAAGTAATATTGAAACTGTTAACACGTGTTTATAAATCTAAGATCTACGTTATCACAAAACAAAAGCTTGAGTAACTGAAGCAATCTTTTTTTATAAAACTTAGATAAAATATAAAGAACATTACCGTTTGTCCACCAGCATTTTTAGCTCTGGTAAATAAGTGAAATGGTTGCACAGTATGTTTAAACAACTTTAATCCAAATGGCAATATGCAGTGGATGTGAAAATTGTTGATAACCATGAGGGGATAATTAATAGGTGTTTGATTTACCTGAGGAACGGCATAAAAAAAACAAAGATATAATTTTTGTTCTTAATTAACTCTACAGTGAGAGTTTAAATTAACATGAGCATAGGTTTGCTCGGCACATAGAGTCTAAATAAAATAAAAACCCTCCAATAGTTTAGGGAATAATTTTAAACTTTTAAAGTTTTTTTTGTAAACAAATGCAAGCTAAACACTTGTTCCAAAACTATTATACTGTTAGCAAAACTATTATATGTTGAAATATTCCAGGCAATGTTTTTTGTTTTAATTTTGCATAATCTAATCCCAGGATTCAAGGCAAATAAAAGAAGATCATTACCCCCAAATGTCAGTAGTAAAAACACTGCAAGCATTTAAGTTTTATTTTTGGGAAAAAAAGTGATTTCTGAATAATTGAAACGTTCTGTTTTATATTTTAAAACCAGTCATATTGAAGAACACTGTTCATTTTTAACACATGTTTTCAGTGTATACAAACAAACAGTAGAAACCTACCTCCTGTGGGTATGGGATGTAACCGGCATAGGCCAACACAAACGTGCAAAACTTGTTAAAATCCTCCACTGTCCTCCTCCTCCTGTAAGGCGGACTGAAACCCTGACAAAAGACACAAAAACTGTTGTTGCTGAAAGCTGCACATCAACAGCCTCAACATGGCGATTCTGACAGTAAGGAGAAGTGAGCGCCTGTTCACATCCACAAAAAAGCAGTTGGCACACAGACACGAACAAATACTCCATTTACAAATGTCCTTAAAGACTCGATCTTCAGGTAGAAAAGTGAAATCGATCGGACACGATTCATTGTGGAGACCTTAGCTTGTCACCAACCCCCCACCGATGAACACAGCTATAAACTAACAGCCCGATTAGCAGCTTAGGCTAATGGTAAACAGTCGTTGCTAAGTGCTAGCGACAACTCCGATAAGGTGTTGGGGGAAAACTAATATTACGACGCTCCACGTCGTTTATAAACAATGTCCGTCCGAGTTTTCACAGCATTTATGATATCAAATTGATAGCTGACGATAAAGCCATGTAGTTTGACAGCTACTTAGCTAGCATTTGGTATTAGCATGCTCCGCTATGATGATGGAATGCGTTATTTAGGGAAGAAACTGGGGACTAGCGAATATAACTTAGTGACAAAGTCCTATTTATACCACCAGAAAGTGCCTATTAGGTGAATTAGACAAGTATTTTGAGTTAAACAAATTACATTCATCAATGTCCATCGTGTGTAACTTTAAACGTTATGACAACATTAGCGTAGCATGCTAACATCGCCCTCCCTTGCCATGACAAACGTAGATCAAGTTGAGCATCGCTAGCCGTGACAGCAAACTCGCACTAACAGTTACATAAATCACTCACCTCTGGCTGGAACACGTTGGATGTCGATGGGTTGATGTCACCCATCTCAAACGATGATCCGACCACCTGACGTTGTTCTCGGCGATCCCAACAAAAATAAAAAATAAATAAAAAGGCTCGGTGAAGCGGGTAACTTGATGGGATCGTAAACGCTCACTTAGCTTCTGCTCACTCGATGCCAGCTGTTAACTAGCGTTACCTGTGCTAAGACTGGGAGCAACAGTGTTACTTCAGTCTGGCGACGCAAGCGTTACTTTTACTGGGAAAAGTTTGCCAACCGCTCGGAAAAAGCTCGTCAAAGTGACAGCGTTGAATGAAATCAAACGTTGTTGGATATATGTGTATAAAATTTTTCCCACAGAGCTGTCCAGCCAGGTCGTCGTTTGATCCCGTTTACCGACTGCTCTCTCTCTATTCAACGGTCCACTTCTGCTGTCACTTGCAGCCTTCTTCTTCTTCTTTTTTTTAATGGCGGTTGGCAAGAAACTTAGTGATACGCATTACCGCCATCTACTGGAATGTAGTGTGGATCGGTATGCTATACATAATATATATATATATATATATATATATATATATATATATATATATATATATATATATATATATATATATATAAATATAAATTATCCCACAAAAAAGAATAAATAAAAAAAATATAAGAATAAAGTTAATTAATAAATTTAATATTCTTTCTATCAGTTTCATTTTTTTAAGATAATTCATTAAATAAATAATAATAAAAAACTATTCTTGTCCTCTCCTTCCAACCATTCTTCTCAATTTTTCCTTTTCAGGTTCATAAGTTTTACAGTTCATCAGTACATGTTCTACATTTTCTTTTTCTCCACATCCTTCACATTTATCATTATTTGCCCTCACTATTAAATATGAATTGTCATCTAAATAGGTATGACCGACTCTCAGTCTGATCATTATTACTTCTTCACACAGGCATAACTTTATGCAGGACTGCTGTGGACATGTCCCCACCATTAATTTCAATACATACACTTTGGCAACATGTGGGACAAATTTCTAAATTAGATTTTTCTGCTTTTGAAGGAGGATATTCACTAATGTAGCTGAAAGGGAAAGCATCCATCAATCCATCCACATTTTTTCTGGATAGATTGATGGGTGAATAAATTAAACTGATATTGTGTACATGCTAGGGAGGCATGATATATTGCTGCTAGCATCGAAATCGGCTGTTTTTTGTTTTGTTTTTTTTAAATACATGAATGTCTAACTACGCATAAATATAAATATCAGTGTATTTTGGTTCTGTCGTGTTCTCAACAATAGGAAAGCATTCAATAAATATACGTTTGAGCTCAGTTTTGAAAAATGCAAACCCTGTTGAAAGCTTTGTGTCAAGTAACGTAGGTCCATCGGCCCCCACCCTAAGAGTGTCCCCACCAATTTTTCCACAAAGTTACACCCTTGCTTTTTCCCTTCTGTTTCTCTCATTAATGACTCTATTTAATACTGATTTTTGGACCTTATATTATCATCCTCCTTTCTTATCTTTGTTCCACCTCTTTTTCCATTTCTTTACTCTTAATAAGTGATTCCCCTTTCCCAAAAGGAATTGTAATTGTTATTGTTCCCTCTAAAGTCCTTTTTGCTAATATATCTGCTTTTTCATTGCCTTTTACACCTTCATGTGCTGGAACCCAACATAACCAACTATCAGTGCCACCCCTATATAATCTGAATAGACTGTGCTGGATTTCTAATACTAAATCATTTCTATCATTTCCTTCTCCCTGAATATTTTCTAAAATTGCTTTGTAATCTGTACAGACCACTAGAGTTAATTTCGTTAACCAAAACTAAACGAAAATATTTTTTTCAACGCACATTTTTCACAGAACGAAAACTAGACGAGACGAGACGAGAAGAAAATCCCCTCTAATAAACAATATCTGGGAGTAAATCAGAAATAATTTTTGTGGACTAATAAAGACGAGACGTAAATGCAGTTCAGTAAATAAAGACTGGGCTAAAATCTATGGACATTTTAGTCCACGAACAAAGACGAGACGAAGATTATATATTATTATTTTATGGTTTATCTGCATATTACTATTACAAGGACATTTGATTTGAATTGGCATCAATATTAATACAACCAAAATGCATGCACACATAAAAATATCTGCAATTTATTCCTGCATAAAATGATAGTTAGGTTGTTTGTATGAGTTTGAAATGGGTTGTCAAATGTAGTTTTTACAGAGACTTAGTTTTTGTCAAGGAAAAAACAGACCTATATGCTACTTATACACTTGGAATTCCTGTTATGCTGTGCATATATCCTGATATTGTATTCATTTCTGTTCCAGATTGAAGATACACCACCACCAACAACCTACCAGCCATCCAGAAACAATGACAGGCTATACAAGCTATACAAGCTTTCTTAATTTCTCACACCAAATACAAAGCTGACTCTCAGGACTAGCAAGCTATGCCTTTTTTCACCGTAAATATTGTACCTTTATATACCATGTGAACTAGATGGCAGGAAAGCACTTTTGTTGTATCAGTTGGAGTTTTTTTTTTTTTTTCACAGAATTGACCTCAAATCGATTTATTTTATTATTCTATGTGAACTAGCTTTAAACAGCCAGCACTTGTGTAAAGTTCATAAGACACTTTATTTTATTTATTTGTTTCCTTTGTCAGGTGTATTTTTTGTTTTAATGCAAGCATTTGTGTTTGTGTCTTTGAACCTTAACAATGTTCAAAATAAATATGCAAATATTGTCAGAACATCTTCCATGTCTGCATGTGTTCCTTAAAATTGTGTTTTTTTTATCAAAATGATGAGAAAATGTTGAAATGTGAAATAATTTTAGGAAATGTTAAATATTATCTGCTGACAAAAAAGTAAAAGGTTAAAATTATGTCCTGACTAAAACTAGACTAAAATGTTGACAGTTTTTGTTGACTAAAACTAAACGAATAAAATAATATTTTCTTGGACTAAAATAAAGACTAAAATGCTCAACTTATAGTCGACTAAAACTAGATTAAATAAAAATGGGATGATGTCGACTAAATGTGATAAAAACTAACAAGTGGCGCTGAAACTGGACTAAAACTGAAACTAAATTTAAAAATGGCTGGTAAAATTAACACTACTGCAAATATAGTTTGTGCAGTGAAGATAATGCAGCTCATGCATGTCTGCTGTGTCACGTCTGCTTGCTCGAGTGAGGCTTCACTTTTTCCCTTTTCACAAACAAGTTTGCACTTATGAGACAGTTTTGTTCACATCTCATGTTTAAACTGTCTGATTTACAAGTTTGCACTCTGTGTTTAATGTGACAGGAAAAAAACAAAATACATGAGTATTTTGAAACACAGTTGAACCACTTTCATTATTGTAAAAACAGATCGAATCAAAATTAATTGATTTAGAATAGAACTGTATGAATCAAAATCGAATCGATTTACCCAAAATACCCAGCCCTGGTGCTGAAGCTGACTGAATCCCTTTGATCAGAAAAACATGCCTTTGCTCTGTAGAGCTTATCTGGTTGCAATGAATTAAAGACTTTGCCATTAGAAACCACAGATAAAATCCCTGACCTCATAGAAACAAATAGCAATGAAAGACCCTGTTTATGCTCTAGAGCCATGCAGTAAAAAATGCTACATTTGCTCCTCTTGGCATTAATAACCAACCTACCAGTAAACAGCAGGGGCACCTTCTCCAATAAGCTGATGAATGCTGATGTAACGCAGAGCGCCACCATTTTTCCTCCAAGTTCGCACAAAGTGGTTGTTTTAGAGCTAATCTGCACAGCAAACGTTTTGTGTTTACTAATGTCGTCCATATCAGATAATGCCACTCTGTGTTTTATTTATTTCCTGTTATAATGCCTACATTTAGTGGTTTAATGTGTTATCAGCCTTCTCATTCTGCAATTTAGTGCCTTATCCAGCAGATGGCGCCTCAGGCAGCTGCCAGTGTCACCTGTTGGCAAGGCCGGCCCTGCCTTAGAAACATTTTGGATTTGGTGAATTTCTTTAAACATTAATTTGCTTTTATTTCATGTTGAGGCAGTGGGTGCGCTGTATAGCATACAGTTATTAGCCTTTGACTGAAGACATTCTGTTCTTCAATGATCTGATGAAGAGGAGGCTCACTGTTTGCCATAGTGTTCTTTGTTTTATTTAGAATTCTTATTTGTGAAATTTTACCAAATTTGATCTCTCATACAGAATGACTTTAGTCTTCCAGATCATGAAGTAAGTTTACATTTGTCAACATGATTTTAATGAGTTAGCAGCTAAAATAATAATATTTAAAACTAACAGTTATGTAAAATAACCTTAAACCAAAGAAAAAAAAATGAGGTTATAAAATCCAATTTCACTATATTTGCGGACAACACATTTTATAGTCTATATGGGACATTAAATCTAGTAACATGAGAGGTAAACAATCATTTTTAATGTTATGTGTAAATCAGTGGTTAGTGCAGGTTGAAATTCTAAGCTTCTGCTTCAGGAAAAGATCTAAACTATTGATTTAAAGTGTGCATTTAGCTATTTTTGAATGAACAAATAAAGACTTATTCTAAAACTTTCATTTCTCCTGTTGTTGAAAGGAGGCAGTGGTGGACAGTAACCTATATTTACTTGATTAATGTATTTAAGTACTTTTTTCGAGTATCTTCACTTTACTTGAATATTTTTTTGGGGGGACACTAATAACTTTCACATCACTACATTTCAAAGTCAAATATTGTACTTTTTACATCACTATATTTTTAGGAAGCTACTTGTTACTTTGCTTTGTAATCCGCTATTGCTTTTTTTCTTCCTTGAAATGCAATTTCAACATGGCAGATAGCAGACGCAGGACTCAGTTTGGACTCCACTGTGTTACAGATTTACATGACGTTCCACAAATGTGAGAAACTCAGAGCAGTTATTATTGGTAGTTTATACATTTTATTAAGGCTTTAGTCATTGCCATGTGGCCCAGTTATTTAGTAATTTTCTCAAATCAGAGATGTTGTTTC